GACATAGAGCCATCACCGTTTACCCATTTAGGCATCCTTTTCTCACACGTTTTCTCTTTCATACTCCCCATTTCTTCAAAGGTAGTGCCCACTTTCTCTCTTTACATTGAAGCTAACTCTGGTGGTTTGGGTAAAGGGGCTGGGTCATGGGCAGCACCCCCAGCACCCTAGTGACCATAGTTTTCAATTACCAAAATAGCGTGCTTTGAGATATTCCATTTCAATCCCACAACAAAGAATAAAATTAAAATGAAGCATGGATGGCATTTATATGACAACACTCTCATGCTATGAACCTTCCTCACAGAGGAGAGGAGAGGAGAGGAGAGTGCATGTGTGGATTATGAGAATCGATGTGCTGCACCCGTGTTAGTCGGAATGGAATTGTGGTGAGCATTAATAAATGTTGGGGACCTCATGTAACCATTAACTGTCATGACGGTTAATGAATTTTGGGAAAACACCGTACCTATTAAGCGTCATGAAATTTGAGAAGTCACTGTTCACCCCTTTAGATGTCTTTTCTTCTCACACGTTTTCTCTTTCATACTCCATATTTGTCCAAAGGTCATGCCCACTTTCTCTTTTTCCATTGAGGCAACTCTGGTGCTTTAGGGAAAAAAGAACTACGGCCTTCGTGCTAGTACCCTCACACCTCACTTTCTACATTGTGATTTTCATTTCCACTAACATCACCCCACTAATATTTTAAAAAAACTAAATCATAAAACCGTTTGAAAAAACATATATTAATAAAAGGATAAAATACAGTCTCGAAAGAATGCTCATAACGTGGCTAAAAACATGTTTACTCTTTATTTCTCCAAAGCTCGTGCCAACTTCCTCTCTTTACATTGACGTAACTTTGGTGCTCCGTAAGTTTGCCTTTTCAATGCAAGAATCGACAAAAAACTTTTGAGTTCTTCTGTTTTCCATGGTCTGCTTTGCTTGGATACTTTTTTAAAAAAATTGATATATATCAGTAAGGGGCAAAATAAAGTCTTCAAAAAGTGCGCATAGGGTGCCTAAAAACATAAAGTTCCACCTATCTCACTTTAGTTTTATTCAATCCTCCATAACCAAATCCTAGAGCTCCGATTTCACCCATCCAATTTTTCAGCAATTACTCCTCTTACCGCAAGGTCACCCATAGCGGTGGCAATGGGTCGAACAACCCACCCCAAAACTAGTACCTGGGGCACAAAATATGGCCTAAGGGTGGGGATCTGACTATAGTCCTAGGTCTGGCCAGGCCCCTTCGGCTCTATGCAGGCTTTGACCGGCCCTATAAGGGCCTAGGCTAAGTTTGAGCAAGGGCCCCGGCCCCTTCCCAGCTCTACCATCCTACTATGCTATTGTTCATGTCAGGACGTTACCCATCCCTGGGCTACTCTTGGCCAAGACAAGGTTCGCTATATGATCTCATTACTTAGTTTTAAATACAAAAGTCTTAATTTCGTATGTGAAATCAACTGCCAAATTTGAGAGTTTAAAATGTGCATTACAAAGCACGTCTGTTGCACTTTCCATTAACGTCACGTTGCTAAGAAAAACAATATTGCGCATAAAAAAAGAAAAGAAGAGAATGCAATGATACTTATCTTTTTGTCCCATACTTGCATATAACTATGATTAATAAGGCCGGCAGTTGAACGGTTAACTGGTGTCTAGGTTGGTCCAGTATAAAGTAAAAATCGAGTTTGATAACATATTATTCAAAACCAATGTTTGATCAGTTTGACGGGTTGACTCGCAAATTTTGACCAATCATACTAATTAAACAAAGTGGAAATTTTTTAATATATTTTATGTTTTAAATTATTATTCTTCCTTTCTTTTCTTATTTGAGACCCAATTCAATTGGTTCAATCAGCATTGTAATCGGTTATGGCTGGACCAACCCCTCTTTGGTGGTCGGTCCAATCCTAATAAAATTGCGAAGTAACAAAGAGAATCTCTATGACATGAAAATTAAAAAAGACATCTGGTTACTTATTTGAAATTTATTTTCCAATTTTTCAAAAATAAAATAGAATACGTTGAAAGAAATATATGTTTAAAAAGAAACACGTTCTAATTGACCACATGCAAAGCACCCAAGTGGCGGCTTAGGCAAAAATAATTGAAGTGTTTTGTTTAGTTCATGTTTTTATTTGTTCTTATGGACATTGCTTGTAACACCTTTTTTCTCTTTTTGTCTTTTTTTGCCTTTTTTTTTTTCCCCTTCTGCAATCATCTGTAATTCTACTCCTTCGGTAAAATTCGCAAACCCAAAATTTGGACACGATACCTTAAAAACCTACCAAATAATGTCAAAATAAAAAATTAGAAAAAAAAGATCAAATAGCATACTATATGCATCTTAAAATTCAACAAGAACAGTCCATTTTCTTAAGAGCAAGACCTGGATGTTGAAAAATTTAAACTCCACTTTCTTTTAAATAATCATATTTTAAATTTAAAAAAATCCTCCTAAATAGCTCTCTTTATCGCTCTTTTTATTGAGAGTTTTTGCCAATATATTTCACTCCCCAATGGCAGTATACTGTCCATTTAGTCCCTCGGGTACAACTCAATCTAAGAGTACTTTTAGGACCCCAGATTTTGCAGGTATAAACTTATCAACCCATAGACTACTCTCAAAAAAAATAAAAATAAAAAATAAATCTAAATTGCACTCTCTATACACTTGAAAAAATAATAATTTCTCCAAATTAAACAAAGACAATCCAATTTTCTGTGGGTGAACTGTTAGAGAACTCAATATTTAAATTTTTACTTTTGAAATCAATCATATTGTTTTTCTTAGGTGCTTCCCATTTGTATGCCTTTTGCTCGAAAGAGTAAATGTACAATACAATATGCTCCCGCAGGACCATAATACCATTCTATTTTTTTCCTAGTGTGTCTTTTTTTTATTTCTTTTTTGGGTAAGGTCTTCTTTTACGCTTTTACTTTTGTGGTTGATGTTTTTAAAGGGCTTAGGTTTTATGAAAACATAATAAAGCCTCATCTCAAATGCCCATCTGGAAAGTACTTTGGGCATCAGAAATCATTATGGCTCTTAAAGTACTTTGGGCATCAGAAATCATTATGGCTCTTAAAGGAATTTTTAATACAATCAATAAATTTTAAAATTAAAAAAAGGTACAAATCTTGTGGTTATATGGACACTTAGGCAAAAATGGATGGTCTAGATGATTTATTGTAATATAAATTATTTTTAGAATTTAAAATAGTAATTTTTTAACACAACCATAATGTTAAAGCTGAGATGATCAACTTGAAAGTTTTTCAACATTTGAATTGTAATTTTTGATGAGTTGTGAGGTGAGGCTTTACTTATTTTGATAGGGCTGCAGCTCTATCAAACCGTTTTCTTTTTTTTAATATCGATGATTTATTGGATGTGGTCCCCACCTCCACACTTTTGATTGTTATAACGGCTCACACACCTCACGTGGAAAACTCTTGCGTCACGTTGTTGGGCGCGTAACCCAATAAGAAATATTAATTAGAAAAAATATAGATTGGAAATAAAAACATTTTTCCTGCATGAAATTACTCAGTACTATCCAATATTACGAATACTATCTTCAAAGTTGGAAGTTTGAAAAAATTAGGGGATATTTAATCCACTACTGATTTTCTTTCGGATATTATTTTTTTTGTTGATACCTCCTAATCTATTTTCGAAATGGTTGTTGCAGTATTTTCAACTGGAAATTGACAATTTGCACCAGGTAAATTGAGATTTTGCACCAATTTTTATCCAAAATTTCCTGTGTATAATCAATATTTTGAATTGCTAAATATTATATAAAAAGGGCGACAAATAAAAGATAAAAACAATGGTCAATGATAAACTAGTATTGTCTTCTTTGGTACTTTCAATGTTTGCAAACTCTAGGAATTTTTTTTTATAACTTGATTTGACAATGGGAAATATTTAAGAACATAAACAATAAAAATAGGAGAATTTTGACAATATTAAAATATAGGAAGCTTGCGTAATAATTAAGAATGTCTCAAATGTGTGGGAAGGAATTTATTAAATACTAACAATTATTTTCAAAAATAGATGAATTATGAAATATATGTCTAAAAAACAGTAAATAATTATTTTAGATTTTAGATAACGTTATAATATTTGACTCAACAATAAGAAATTTGAAACTAAAAACAGTATTTGAAATAGTATTATTTTGAAATAACACCCGATATTTTTCTACGAAAAAAGTGTTAACAATAAATAAATAGATATATATTTAATTCTTATCTTCATCAGCTAACAGAATGTATTGGCCCCTATAAAATTATACGCAAGACTTACAAATAATTTAAGAAAAAAATTTATATAAGGTTGTAACCTTTTTTGGGGTAGTTATGAGGTTACATGGAAGTAAGGCGGTCCTCAAAAATCAGTGGAAAGGAGTATTTTGAAGTTGGAAAATTATTGAGTTGATCATCTCCTCCTTTACATGTATGGATATAAAGTAAAGCAAGAATTCAAAACTTAAAAATAATACATCTTGTAACAAGTTATTTGAACCGTCTATTGCAAGTGTTTATATGTACGATCGATCTACATTATATTTAAAAATTTAAAATTTCATAATTAAAATTGAATATGAATTTTCAAGCCATTGTAAGTTTTCTGGCACTGAACTATATCTCCAGCAAAATTTAAAAGTTTGTTTTACCTATCTGCAGGCACCTTGTAAAAAATCTCACCCAAAATTTAAACCCCTGTATTAGTGAGGAGTACACTATATAAGGCTTTATTCGATTGCACTCAAATATCGAAATAACATAACAATAATATACCACTATCACCAACATAGTAAAGTAGTAATAGTGTTACAATAGCAAAAAGATAACAAATACAAATTCATGTGTCAAAATGCAAAATAAACTAAAAATAAATAAATAAATAAATAAATAATTTCAAAATCCTTTTATATCCCACTATTGCACAGGTGCAACCATTTCCCATCACCTTTTCTTCGTCTGCAAAAAAAAAAAAACCATCATCATGCCTTCGTTCCTTTCTTAGTCCAAGAATAGAAAATAAAACACCAAAAAAAAATCATTATTAGTTTCCTATATTTGTGTCTTTGTATCAGGTGCCCTGTATTCTCATCCCTTGTAGCTTGTTTGCAAAAGAGTAGAGAGAGAAAAAATCTTTAATTGTTGGGTAGAGAGAGAAAATCATGCATATATCAAACATGAAGGTATGGTTTCTTTGGTGGAGCACTCATGACTTTTCCTCTCTCTCTCTCTGGTTATTTTATTGTTTTTTTATTTTTTTCTCAGTTATATTCCTGTATCTACTCCCCCTGAATTCATGTCCTCCTGATTGGTTGGCATGAGAGTTCCCAAATAACTCTTTGTCTCCACCCCTGGTTGCATCTGTCTCTCTTCTCTTTCTCTCTCCACAGTTTTGTTTGGCCTCTGGTTGCACCAAGGCTGGCCTCACCACTATTACTCTCTCTCTCTGTCTCTCTCTCTCTTGTTTTTCCATTTCTTTTGAGTTTGAGTTATATATTCATATAAGAGCATTCCAAGAAAAAAAAGACTCAAACCTAACATGTGCCTTTCTCTTTCCTGTCTGGTTTGATGAACTTCAGATGGATGAGAGAGAAAAGAAGAGTGAGTTGCAAAAGAGCCACTTCAATGTGTTGGGTCTTTGTTGCCCAGCTGAGGTGCCTTTAATTGAGAGGATTCTCAAACCTCTCCAAGGAGTTCATAAAGTATGTGTAAATGTTCCTTCAAAGAGTGTCATGGTTCTACATGATCCCATCTCCATAACACAAGTTCAAATAGGTAAGGATCAATATTTCCTCCAGTTTATTGTTCCCTTTTTTTTTTTTCTTTTTTCTTTTTTCTTTTTTGAACCATTGAAGTTACTTTTGATAGATTTTTTTTTTCTTTTTAATGTCTGGGGTTGTTTTTTCTAAGACATCTGATTAATTGCGCAATTAATTTTTTTTTCCTTATTGGGTGAGTTGCACACATATTGAAAAAGCAAAATTGAAAGCACCTAGAAAACCCCAAATGTGTCTCTCTTTCAAGCCCCCAACTGACCTTTTTCCATTCATTCAAGTTACTTTTGCTAGATTTATTTTACCTTCTTTTAAGTTGGGTTATATATATATATATATTTTAAGGCATTGGATTAACTGGCCAAAAAGGAGGAAAATATTTTGTTTTCTTCTTTTTCTTGTAAAGTAGTCAAAAGATATTGTTATTGAGGTTTTAGGCATTTTGGTCATTCCAAATATCCTTTTAGCCTTTTCTGCAAATTTATACAAACGTATCTGATTTGATAATATTGAGAAATAGAAGATTCAATAAGCAGTAACGTCCGGGCGTTGAATTCCACCCAAACCAACTTTCAAGTTCTTGCTTTTTTTCCAAAATAGACTCTCTTTTTTTTTTCCTTTCTTCCTTTTTTTTATTTATCAAATTGCCGTTTTTGGTCTCTCTCACACAGAGGAGGGAGAGAGAGGAGTATGGCATTTGGCTTGTTTGGTGTACATAAACTGGACTCGGCCAAGGGACTTGCCCCTGGAGGAGGCGAGTCATGTGGCCAAAATCCAAGTATAATGTTATTGATATTTCTTTAGTTGTGAATTGTAGAAATGGCTTATGTATCTAACTGAGCACTTAACCCTCTTCTTTTTGCATAATTACCATTCAGTTGCCGCGCTAAACTCGGCGAGGCTTGACGCGAGCATTAGAGAGATCGGAGAGGCCATAAACCCTAAAAAATGGCCAAGTCGATTTACATTGGTGTCCGGATTTTTACTAATTTTATCTTTCACAAAATTTTGGTTTGAGCCTATGCATTGGTTGGCTCTTGGAGCTGTAGCGGTCGGAATTCCGCCAATTTTTATGAAGAGTTTTGTCACTCTCAGACGGTGGATACTTGATATAAACACACTTGTTATAATTGCAGGTAAATTTCTTGTGAAAATTCTGAATATTCAATTTGCAATGTTACCTTCAGAAAAACACACTTAAAATGACATATGTTAAGATGTCATTAAAGAAAGTACATTATCATCTATATGACTGAAGTTATTCTATGGTCATAAGTATCATCACCGTGTATAAAATGGATGGATGGTGATGGTGAGAGTGGCATTCACTGAATCATTATATGAACTGAGTTTACTAAATAATCTTGGGGTACTTCTTTTTTCAGATTGTATAATATAAGACCATTTATCTTTACAACAAGGTGGTCACAACTAATGTTAGCCATCAAATATCAAATAATAGAGCTTAAAGTATGTCATAAAGTTTGAGATTTTTTTCTTTTTTTAACGTGGATCCTAATCAATAACACACACTCTGCCTTTCTACTTCAAATCTAACAATCAAAAGGGCTTGTGATCTTATTATACATATAGTAAATGGTATTATTGTGGCATTTCCTCCTTTTTTTTTTACCTTACAGATATTCTCTTTAGTAGTTCTCTTTTGCCCAATTTTTGTTCTCTCTATGCAGTGGCTGGAACTATAGCATTGGGAGACTACATTGAAGCTGGTTTTATTGTTGTCCTCTTCACCTCAGCCGAATGGATAGAATCCCTCACCAGCTACAAGGTTTATATTCGAAACTAATTTACTTATAAATCACATTCAATTATTATCACTAATCTAACATGAAACGTAAAATGAGAGAGAGAAAGAGATGGAGAGAGTTTAGCTGTTCAATTATTGATCTATTAATTAGTTGGTTTAAGCCATGAGAAATCTTCATATAGCCCAATATATATAAAACCAGTGTTTGAAAAATTGTCGATTCGGATCTAAATCGTTCGATCTGAATCGGATATTGTTCAAAGCAATATTAATCCAATGATATATCGGGATCTGAAAGAACCATGGTTTTTACATTATTTTAATATAAAATTTATTTTTTAATATAAATTTCTTACACCGCACGTACCTACTGCGGCCACTGTTTATATTATTTTATTTAAAACTACTTACGCTGTTGTAAGCACTGGTTATATTATTTTATTTAAAATTCTTACACATACCAATCAGCGTTATAGCATGCAGCTTTACCTAAAAGGCTAACAGGTAGACTATTTTATGGCTATTTCAGCCTTTAGTCATTGGATTTGGGACTATTTCTACTTGGTTTTCAAGTACTTCATTGGACCTCATTTACAAGGGTATGGTTTCCATAAGGTTGCAAGTCGCAACCTTAAACAATCCATTTAAGGCGCACCTTTAAATTTCATTGTAGCATATAATTTTGATGTAAAACTATTATTAAGATTATCTCAAAATCTATTTTCATATTTAGTTATAAAATTTTAAATTTTAAAAATGATTAAAATCAAGTAGATCTATAAACATATGAAAATCTTGAAAATGGATGGTCTATATAATGTGTTGTAAGATGCATCACTTTTGGGACTCAAAATCCTTTCTTTTTTCATAGTCATACATCTCAACATTGAGACGATCAATTAGAGGGTTTTTTAATACTAAAACAACCGTTTTCGATAGATTTTTGAGGTGCATCCGTAGTTCTACATTTTAAGGTTGCAACCTTATATAAACTTTTTCCTTTTTGGGTATAAAGGCTTATTTGGCCTAAGACAACTAATTTCTTTTAGAAACTAAAATAACACTATTTTAAAATATTTAAAATGATTTTTTTCAAATATTTTGAGTTAAAAATTTGCTTATTTGACCGATTCTCCTAATTTATTGTTAAATTTTTAGATTTTTATATTAGATGATATTATAAGACAAATTTCAAATTTATTTTTATTTGTCTAGTAAATTAATAATAAAATAAGAAAATACATGCCAATATATCTAATTTTAATGTATAATATTGTCTTCAGTTAGATTTTAATAAATATTTGATGAGAATCTTCGTACAGGGAACAAAAATCCAAATATTCGCCTAGTGATAAAAAAAAGTGAAAGTTGATAATACAATACCCTAATTTCTTATTGGATTATTAACAAACAACATTTATAATGAATTGTAATAATTTTTTGAGATTTTTTTGAAGGTTTAATCCGACTGACTCCTGATCTGGATCGCCGATTCACCGATCCGGATGGATTTTTGGGGTGCCCGATCCGTACCGATCTGTTTTTTAAACACGGTGTAAAACATATAAACCCGCTAATAGCATGCTCCATGGAGGATTATACTGTACAAGAACATAACTGGGCCAAAGAGTAAATTGGGATGGTTTTTTAATATAAATTTTTGGGATCCATCTGAGTATCATGAGAGGATTATATATATATTTGAAGTTCTTGAACACCTAGATCTTGCCCTCCAAAAATCAGATCGTTCTTATTTAATGTTGGGGCAATTAATTTTTTTGAGGTGCCCCACCGTTTTTCCTTTTTTTAGTGTTTTTTATAAGACCGGTTATTAGGTTCTCGAGGCTACATTCTCAAAACTTATTTGGTCTAAAAAATATTCATAACCTGGAGTTTACTGTGAGGGAGCAAATCGATAAACATATATAAGTAGCATTTTGCGATGTTTAATCTAAATGGACCTTAAGAAGGGCGTCAGCCATAATTTCATACCTAATGATATTTTATTTTAACTTTTTGTTAGATGATTTTGACATGAAATTTGGAGGGCACACCATTTTACACTATTTTTATAGAGCACACTATTCTTTATAAGACAAAATGACCAGAATTTTTTTTCAATTTTTATCCGGTGCCCCTCTATGAGAAGTGGGCAAACCTAAATTTTATGTCAAAATAATTTATGAAATAAACAATAAAAACTAAATGTGAGAGACACTCTGAGTTGTCCCATCAAGATCAAAAGCTTAAAGGCTAACTATAACTATCGATTTGGTTCAAACGATTGGAATTAGCAGTCACATGTATCCATGATTAACCTACACAAAGATTTCTCTTAAGTTGCTTGGCTCTCTCTCTCTCTTGGTTACTTATTGAAAATTTCATTTATTAATCAAATTAGATCTGTATTATTGGTTAGGCACATGCGGCCATGCAGTCTTTGATGAGCATGGCTCCTCAAAAAGCCGTTTTAGCACAAAGTGGGGCAACTGTAGACACCAAAGACGTGAAATTAAACACATTGCTCGCGGTGAAAGCTGGAGATATGATCCCAATAGATGGTATTGTTGTAGAGGGAAGAAGTGAAGTCGACGAAAAGACCCTCACTGGAGAGCCCTATCCAGTCACAAAAGACCCTCAATCCCAAGTTTGGGCCGGTACCCTCAATTTAAATGGTATAATATCAATAACTTTACTTTTAATTCATTCCTAAGTTTGTGTAAGGGATCAATTGGCTTTCCTAACCTACTCTAAATTCATCAATAAATATGTATTTTCAAAACTACATGTTGGGTAGGCCCGCAAACTTAATATTTGGTGTGCTTTTTTGGCCTATTCTAAATTTAGATAATTTTTATACGGAAAATTGTTTCATACAACGGGGACCGCATTTCTACATTTGTAGTCTCCGATGTGTAAAGCATCCATCTTAAAGATGGATGCAAATATGTGGCCCATCTAAAATCAATTGAAACCAACGGTTCAAATGTTTTCTTGATAGAATTATTCTTTTTAGTTTTTAAAATTTATTTATTTCTTCATATTCATGATCTCCATGTGAAAGATTACATATCCTTAAATTTTAGGTCCAAAAATCTATCTCAAAAGTAGATTTTTAAGAGGTGACTCATTTCTGCAAGGACTCATATAAACCGTGTACTTTTTATATTGGTGTGGGTTTTAATAGAGTTGCAGTTTTATGATTTTCTGTGAAGCTGCATCACAAAACTTTGCAAAAAAAATGCAATCTCACTGCTGGAAACTCTTGTAATAGTGTAGGAATTATTTCTTTTCTAGACTATGAAATTTGTTTATTTCTTTTTCTGAATTATGAAATTTAAAGCTTAAAAAATAGTGGAGATTCGACACATCTGTAAATACTTCAAACGGACAGCTAATAGAACTTGTAGACCACTTTTCAAAACTTGGTATCCATATTTTTTAAATCCATAATTATGGAAGCCAAGATGATTATTGTAAGTTTTCGAGCACCAAAATTGCATTTTCCAAATTTAGGTCTAGCATCATAAGACTGCGGGCCCACAAAATGCTTTCTTATTTTATATTTGTTGAACTTTCTCAAAATATGCTAAGATGTTGAGAATATTCTCTCCCATTAATCCAACTCCACTAAGCCTTAAAGTAGTGGTGGGGGTAACTAATCTTGTTGGCCCTATTGGAAAATAAGTGTGGAACCTTATAAAAAACACTTGTTGTATTGGCCCTTGATGAAAAATAAAATGAACACTACTCAAAAGAGATCTGTAGTTTTGTACGATAGGATCTGTTAGTACAATTCCAATAGTTAACAAATGTTGTGACATTAACAAGTTCTTACCCTTCCATTACTTCTTGATGTTGCACCAGTTCCTGTAGTAGGGTTGTTAAACTATGAGCTGTATTTTGCATTTCGTTCTATTAACGATAAACGGGTAGGGGACTTTCTCCTCCACTAACTTACCCAAAAATAAAATAAAATTGGTACTTGATAATTTGATTGTTACATGAGGTACTTGAATATTTACCTTTGGAGAATTGATTCTTAGATTATTTGCTTATGGAACTTGGTGAGAATCTTCCTTCAGGTGAAACAATTCTTTTTGTAAGGATATTCATGAGTCATTGATGCCCTCAAATAAAACTCTATCTAGGAGCATTTTAGGATCTTAAAAGTTAGATATGCAACCTCCTCAACCTAGAAACCAACATCAATAGAAGAGAAAAAATGGAAGAGTATCGAAAGCACTCAATCTAATTAAAACAATTTCTTAAAATTAAACAAATCAATTTTTGGAGGGACAGATCTAAGTGCTATTGAGCTCAAAATCTAAAATTTTCGAAAATACTCATCCAATCCCAAAGCTTTAGAAGGTATAAATCCACTTAAGTAGCTATTTTGCCCCGGAGAGTAAGTGTATATTTCACATAAGGGATGACCAGTCTAACACCTTCCCCAAACGTTTTTATTTAATTTTACAAAAACACAACAAAAGAAGCACAAGATCTTGAGTTCAAATAGTTGCAAATGGGTACAATGTTTAATAATTTATCCCTTATAATTATTTTGAAAAGTGTTATAAATTACAAAGGAAATAAAAAATAAGAAAACCTCGAGACTCAGAGGATTATGGGGAATTTCCATATGGAATCCTCCTCCTCTAGGTTCCAATCCAACTCGGCCGAAGAGAAAAGGGAAAATGATTGTGGCTTTATGTATAAGCGTGTGGGTTTTTTTTAACAAGAAATCTTTGATTTCTATTGTTATTTTGTTTTGTTTCATATATGTTCATGACGGAATTGATACTTATATTTAGGGTACATGAGCATCAAGACTGTGGCTCTAGCTGAGGATTCGGCCGTGGCTAGAATGGCAAAGCTTGTAGAGGAGGCCCAACAAAACACATCCAAAACACAACGAATTGTAGAGGTCTTTGCTAAGTATTATACACCAGGTAATCCATTGTTACGTCTGTTGTCCTCTTTCTTCTTATAATTTGTTTTGGCAGCTTAGAGTTTTTACTCCTAAAATTTCCTCTTTATTTGGAGGGTTCATGACAAGAACCCTACTAGTCCTCTCCATTCTCAATTTAGAGAAACGTATTAAATGCCATTCTTAATGATAATATAAGAAAACCTATGTCACATGGCTTCTCATCAGCTATTCCATCCGGTCCATAATGGACACACTTGGTTATGTTTTTAGACATATTAAAGATGCAAAACTTGTGTTTGACACTTTAGAAACCCTAGACATTTTTTTAAAGAACTTTTCTTATTGATATATCAATGTAAAAGAACTTAATATCATCTAACATCTCATGTGTCTTTTCTTTAAATAATGTACACAAATGTTATATAAAAGGCCAAGTTTGAGATTAACGTTTCAAATACTTCATGTCCGCGTCAGAAGCTGTCACATGTGCATGTATCTATGCAAGATAATAATAAAACAATATTGGTCGTCTCCCCCGATTGTTCCACTTAAATTATACGCGGTATCACCGACACATTAATCCAATGGTGGGACGCAGAATACTAAATCTGAGCCCCTATTGGCAATTCACATTCCTAGAGTGCCTATAAGCGTATGGGGAGCCCTATGAGCCTGGCCTACACAATGTCGAGCAAAATTAATTCTTAATTTTACCTTGATTATGTTAGAAAAGTTGGTCACGCAATATTGAAAGATGAAACTGATATAGTACATTCTTCTCCTTTTCTCTTTATTTGGCAGTCATACTCGTATTAGCAGTGGGGTTAGCAATAATCCCTTTGTCATTAAGATCAGAGAATTGGCACCACTATCTTTACTTGTCCTTGGTCGTGCTCATGTGCGCATGTCCTTGCGCTCTCGTCCTCTCGACACCGATCGTTATGGCCTGTGCCTTGTCAAGAATGTCGTCAATCGGGGTATTGGTAAAGGGCGGAGATTATCTTGAGAAGCTTGCGAAAATCAAAATAATGGCCTTCGATAAAACCGGGACGATTACTAGAGGGAAGTTCTCGGTCTCAGAAATGATCTCTCTCTCCAAGGATGAAGAAGATGTTGGCCTAGACAAGATGCTGTATTGGTAAGCTTGCACTAAGTAATTTGTGTTTTTTTTTTTTAAATAACTTGCATTAACAATAGAATTAGAGACACACACACAAAAAAAAGAATAACAGATTAATATGTATCTTGAAACATGTAAACTGTAGTAGGTCCAGGCATTTATTTTCCTCAAACATGCCCCAAATATGTTCCCAATACTAAGTGTGTCGTGAAATAGTACAGTATGTGCCTCTTATGGGGGACCTGTGCCATTTACAATAAGAGCATGTAAAGGGTATTCCTACCGGAGCACAATGTACACTTACTCTATCATGTAAAAAGCTTAGCTAAGAGGCTTTTTTAGATCTGAAATTTTAGGACCCACTTCATATTCATAACAAAATAATCACCAATGGAGATGAGTATTTTCAAAAAAAAAAAAAAAATTTAAATTTTGGATGATTTCCATTCAATTTTTAGCTTTCTTTTTTTCAAACACATATAAAATGCTTTGTATTTTTCCTCGAGGTTTAAGTTAGGGCAAGCTTTTTATGTTTCTCCTACCACATAAAACGTATATACTTCTCCTTATCCAACCGTCCATTCTGAATGGAAGGCTAAGATTGTCCCAGTTACAACATCGCTATATTATTTTATTTTTAATTTTTTTTTTCTATAAATTATTTTGGCACCAAATTTTGGACGTCCAATCCTCTATTAAACTCGTACTAGAAAAAAATATAAAAAATTATTTCCAATAAAATAAAATGACCAAAATACCTCTGAAAGTTTCAAGGGGTAATTTGATCATTATATTTTATAAAAAAATACTTTTAATATTTTTTATAGGTGCGCCCTAATGAGAATATGGCACATACAAAATTTCATATTCATACAATTTGTATAAAAAAAAAAACTAAAAATAAAATACTTTGAGACGTCGGACCTAAGATAAAATGGTGAGTGGCTCTCTTGATCAAAATTAAACGGCTGGATGGTAGGAAAAGCATAGATCTTCTATGCTGTAAGGGAAGTATAGAAACCTTTCCCTGAAGTTTATGAGGTTATGTCTAAAATTGGGCCCTATAACTCTCTTCTTGCTTGAGAGAAATACATGGTAGTTTGTGTCAAAGTCAAGTTAGTGGATGCCACCGTATCTCACACTAGAGAAAATGTATTAGCCATTTTTAGATCATACTCAAAATCCTCTCTCTCTCTCTCTCTCACTCAGGTTACCATGTCTCATCTCTCTCTCTCTCTTGTTAGTGGAGGCTACCATGTCTTACACTCTTGTCTCCCACCATGAAAAGTGCATCAGCTCTTTCTGTGCTGACATTTCTTTTCTGTTGTCTGATTTAAAAGTCCGAATCCGATGAATCCCAGGATGTCCAATTCAAGTTCCCCGGTTCAATTTGGGTGACTCAGATCCAGGGACACCCAAGTTGGATCGGACGACAATTAATAAAGAAACTAAAGAAAAATCGAGAGGATAAAGGCACTACTTCAGGATCTCTATGAGTGATTTCGATTCGAATCGGTGATTTTAAATCACTATTATCAAGACTTGGTTACTTTTACTCTTTCCTCATATATATATATATAAATATTACTAATTAAAATGTATAATTCAGGGTTACAAGCTTGGAGAGCAAATCAAGCCATCCGATGGCTGCTGCTCTTGTTGATTACTGTAGATCAAAGGGGATTGAACCTGCAACCGAGAAGGTGAAAGACTTCCAAAATTTTCCTGGCGAGGGCATTTCTGGAATAATTGATGGGAAGTGTATTTTTATAGGAAATCAGAAAATGTCATCAAGGGCAGGGTGTAAATCTGGTAAGAAATTGTGACTCATTATTAGCGAAACTACTCCACTTTTCCCAAAAGAAAGTGTTTTTAAATTTCATAATTTTAAAATTCGATCTTGGCTTTTCTACCTTAATTTTATACTGGAAAAGTATGCAATAAGGTTCTCCCTCTAATATCAAACATCTTGGAAAGGTGTGAGTTAGGAATTTTTGGCAACCTTACCTATAGAAGAAGTAACGTGGTTGTTTTCGATAGGGAAAAGTTTATATAGAGCCGCGGCTTTAAACAATCAATATTTGAGTCTACATCAAAAATTTCACTAGAGGAGGTTGTTTTGATGCCTAAATATTTTCAAATCGATCATCTCGACATCGATATATATGGACATGAGAAAAAAGTGGATTTTAAGTTTTGGAAATAGTTTATTTTGTAACACATTTTTGGACCGTCAATTTTCAAGATTTTCAAGTTTTTATAGATCTGTCGGTCTATACTATTTTTAAAGCTTTAAACCCTATAAATAAATTTGAAAATATATTTTAAGGCTATCACAAAGATTTTCAATATTAAAATCATATTTCTCGACATTATTTGAAGGTAGGCTCTAACTTGATTGTTTAGAGCCTAAGCTCTATACGGCACCCTTTTCGATATATTATATTTTAGTTGGACGGTAAAAATTTGACATTTTTAAATATAATGCCAAAAATGTAACAGATCTTCTATAACAAAAAAAAGAGTTTATATAAGGTGTCAACCTTATATTGTATAATTGGCACCTCAAAAGCCGACTGAAAAAAGTTATACTGACGCTAGTAAAAACCCTTCAATTGATCATCTCGACCACGACATATGGGTATAGAAAAGAAATAAAAAAGGATTTCAAGTCTTAAAAATAGTATCATCAAACATATTATTTGGACTGTCTATTTTCAAAATTTTCTAGTGTTTATACATATGCTTGATTAAAACTATTTTGGAAATTTAAATTTTATGACTAGGGATATAAAAAGATTCCAGGCCATTTGAAGATTTCTAATATCAAGATTGTATCTTCTGGCAAAATTTGAGGGCGCAACTTACTTCGATTATTTATAGCGGACACCTTATATAAACCTCACCCACAAAATAACATCAAATCTATACCGTTTAACTAAAACATAAAATATAAATTACTGCAACTTTACTTCTGCATGTCTTACATAATCTTTTTCCCTTAAATATATCGAATATTATATGTCGTATCTTATTTTATTTATTCATTTTTTAGTTTTATATACTTTCAGTTCCAGATATTACAAGTGAACACAAGGGAGGAGGAACAGTTGGGTATGTGTTAATTGGAGAGAAAGTGGTGGGATATTTCACCCTTTCCGATGATGTCCGCTTTGGTGCTTTGGGAGTGATTAGGGAATTGAAAAACATGGGGATCAAAGTGGCAATGCTTACTGGAGACACCAATGCGGCCGCCCTACGTGTAAATAATAAGGTGCAATATCTCACCCTCTTCCTCCTTAAGTTTTCCCTTTCTATGGGAAAAAGTTTAAATAAGGCCTACATACGGCTGTTAATGGGCCCGATACAGGCTAGGTCATAATTCATGTATAGTTAGCCGGCCCAGCTCGGGGCCTTAAAATAAATAAATAAATAAATTTTGGGCCCAGCTTGAGCCCTCTTAAAATCTTACTTATGAGGCCTGAACTTAAAAAATTGGAATGGGCCGGGCCTTATTATAAATGCAGGAACAAATTTATTTTAAAAGCTTATGAAAATTTTTTAGCCTGACCCGAAATGGGCACAACACAACCTGTTAACGCTTGTTTCGACAGAAATAAGAAAGATATTAAGCCCTAAAAACATTTCATGTTGTAACATATTATTGAGCTGCCTATTTTCAAGTGTCTATAAATCTTGTAGATTTGCAACATTCTTTTATGTTTAAATTTCATAGTTAGGGCTAAAATAGACTTTCATGCCATTATAGGATTCCGGCATCCGAACAATAGACTTTGCTAATTGCCACTGTGGATATCCCTAGACTAAAAATAAAATAAAAATTATAGTTAGAAAACAGGAAATGGTAAAAGAACAGGCTGCCATTTATATAAGGTGGCTGCCTTATGAAAATAATAAGGGCTGCACCTCCAAACACCGTCAAAAAAATATTGCTCGGATGCCGGAATCCTATAGGGTGCGGTTTGTATAGACCCGAGGCTCTAAACAATCAAAGTAGAGCACACCTTCAAATAGGGTCAAGAAATATGGTTTCAATATTGGAAATCTTTATGACAGCCTTAAAATATATTTTCATATTTAATTAGAAAATTTAAAGCTTAAAAAATAGTGTAGATCAAGCAGATCTATGAAAACTTGAAAATATTGAAAATTGATGGTCCAAAAATGTGTTACAAGATGCACTATTTCCAAAACTTGAAATCCATTTTTATCCTCATGTTTATGCATCTTGATGTTAAGATGATCAATTTAAGGATATTTGGGCATCAAAACAAACTCTTCTAGTGAAATTTTTGATGTGAGCTCTAATTTGATTGTTTAGAGCCTCGGCTCTATTTAAACTTTTTCCATCTAGTAAAATAAAAGGTTACACCAAGCTTTTGTTTGGACGGCCCAACAACTCCACCAATGCAGAAGTTATTTGGTATGTGGAAAACGTTTTCTTTTTTTTTTTTGGGGAGAAATGAATAATTCAATACCTTATCATATCTTTTGATTAATGTTAAAATACATTAAAACAAAACACATGATCTTGAGTTGGAATAGTTGCAAATTGGTAGAATGTTAAATACTTTATCGCTCATAAGTATTTTGATAAATAAATAAAAAAAAAACATCGAAAGCATACTTTTATTTTTTAAGAGCCTGGGAGTTTTGGACGTATTTCTTAATAGCACGTTACACCAAACTGCACCAGTTTTCATTCCTAAATAGTATGAACGAAGAAATAAAAAGAAGTCTACTTTTAGACGATCAATCAGAATGAGGCTCGATCAAATAAAAATTTCAAAGAAAATGTATTTGGGGGATTTCTCATGCTTTTAAATTCCGTATTGGGCTTTTCAATTCTTAAACAATAAGGCTTTAAGCGAAGCTGATCTGCGTTCTTTATAATGCTTTTGCTTTCTATGATTGTCACACTGTTACTGTGCATACCCATGCAGCTAGAGAAGGCCATAGGAATCATGCATGCCGAGCTCCTTCCCGACGAAAAGGCGAAGCTGATCGTCGATCTCAAAAAATCCGAAGGTCAAATAGCAATGATCGGCGATGGGATCAACGACGCGCCTGCCCTCGCCTCCTCAGATGTCGGAATAGCCATGGGAGCTACGGGATCTGCAATAGCCTCAGAGACCTCTCACATAACCCTAATGTCTGACGACCTCAAAAGGTTGCCGGATATTGTTAAAATTAGCCGGAAAACTTGCCAGAAAATCATGGAAAACGTTTTCCTTTCCATGATCACCAAGTTAGGGGTTGTTGCATTGGCCCTTAGTGGGCACCCCCTCATATGGGCAGCCATGTTAGCCGATGTTGGCACGTGCTTGGTTGTAATATTCAACAGTACCTTACTGTTGGGCAAATGGGGATTAGTGGGGATGGCACGTGCGACACATAGGCACAAGTGTTGTGCGCAAAAGGAGGGTTCTTGTCAAGAGAGGCACTCCATGTGCGAGGGAAAAGCTGCGTGTTCTCAGGACTTGAAACACGGCGCGTGTGAAGACAAAGGCTCGTGCGGCGAGATCTTGAAGCATGGCACATGTGGAGAAAGAGGCCCTTGTTGCCAAAGCTCAACAGGCGTCGGGAATACACACGTGCATGATCATGAGGTCGGTGTCGGGAATTCACATGTGCATGATCATGAGGTCGGTGTCGGGAATTCACACGTGCATGATCACGAGGTCGGTGTTGGGAATTCACACGTGCATAATCACGAGGTCGGTGTCGGGTATTCACACGTGCATAATCACGAGGTGGGACATATTGACACATGCGAGAAAAGATGTGGAACCCATGCGGACACGTGCATAGATAGCTCAGACACACGAGTGGAGTCAGATGATCGCTCTCACGAGGGGAATCAAGTCAACACGTGTCAAGATCATGTTCCTCGCACATGCGGATCACATAGAGTGAAGAAGGGCGATACGTGTCCGAACCTTGTGTCCCGCTCTTGTGGATTCCATGGAGGGGATGCAGGCGACACGTTTAGAAGCCATGAGACTCGGGCCCAAAGGAGTTCATCATCTCACGCATGTGCAGAAAATTGCATCCCCGCGCGTACTAATTTCGATAAGTGTCTCCATGGTTCGTGCGAAGAATCAAATGAGCACGTGGGAAACTCTCACACTTGTGCAACAAATGCGTATAGAGAGGGTGATTACAAGCATGTGTATGGTGATACCACACGTGTGGAGATTGTGGGGATCCATATATGCATGAGACACGGTGGGTGTTGTGGGAGGGACATTGAAGAAATTAGGGTTTCTTTGCCTGAGATTGTAATCGAGTAAAAAGAAATCATGAAATAATTGGTAATAATATGAGCAAACCGTACACCTCCCGTGTGTGATGTATAACATGCACAGAGGGGATGTGTATGGGTACTTCATTTATTTGTGATTTTGGTCCCGCGGCTAAATCACTAAGTCGGAGCTTTTTGCGACCTTGTGGGCACGTTTGTTTGGTGAAAGTTTTGGCTTCTGAAGTTGAAATTTTGAATTTTTCATCTTCATGCAGGGCACAAAAGGGGTGGCGTCCACTCTTTTCCAGACTAACGCTATGTTTGGCAAAACATGATATCTTTATTCAAATTTTTAAAAAATCTGAATAAAGACGTTGTCGGTCTATTATATATCTGTTATCTTATTTTTTGTGGACAATAAATTTCCACATGAAATATTGAACTGTTTGAAAAAAAAAAGAAAAAAGAGAGGAAAGACATGATCGACAATTTCTCCAATCCAAGAGTTGATGAGTACATGTTTGGAGAATGGGGAGAAGGACGAGAACAGTGAAACCATCATTCAAGTACTTCCCCACAATCTTAGCGTCTAAAACTTTGATTGTTACCAAACATACCCTTATGCGGCCAATTTCAAATAGAAAAAGTCGAGAAAATTTCCCGAAGCCAAAATATTTATGCTCCTGCCACGAGCATATTCACATTCACTCCCTCTGCTAAAAATGTTTCTAGAAATATTTTAGAACCATAATTTTGTTGAATCTAACCTCCTCAAGCGAGAAATCCCAAAAGTTTGAAAAGAAATGGAAAAACTCATATGCCAGGGCTCGAAAATAAAAAAGTTCTAACGTTGAATAGAGATTATTTGATTTTGAAAAGGTCAGATCAGAGTCTTGAAGAAGTCTATTGCCCATCGGAGTAAGTATACATTATGCTCGGGCAAGTATATAGTTTAGCCCTAACTAATAATAATAATAAAAAAGGGTGCGGTTTGTATAGGGCTGAGGCTCTAAACAATCAAAATAGAGCACACCTTCAAATAGTATTGAGAAATGTAGTTTCAATACTAGAAATCTTTGTGATAACCTTAAAATATATTTTTCTGTAATTATAATATTTAAAGTTTAAAAAATAGTGTAGATTAAGCAGATCTATAAAACTCAAAAATCTAAAAAATTGACGATCCAAAAATGCGTTACAAGATGCACTATTTCCAAAACTTAAAATCCATTTTTTCACATGTACATGTCGAGGTGATCAATTTGAGGATATTTGAGCATCAAAACAACCTCTTCTAGTAGAATTTTTGAGGTGGGCTCTAACTTGATTGTTTAGAGCCTTGGCTCTATGTAAACTCTTTCCATAAAAAAAAATGCATGTTTTGGTTGGATTGTGACCTACGCTCACTAGGCAACTGTAACCAATATGGAATAGCGCATGACATTTTCTTAACAATGCATTGAGAATGACTGAAACCAGTGAATTTGCTGACAAAAAGCAAGCGTCACAAATTTGCTAGGACGAACAGAACCAGTGTTCGAAAAATCGTAGCAAGCCCTCGATGACTATTAGTTCGGTGGAAAATTCTGGTTTGAGAATCCTTGGAATTGCCGGTGGACAATTCTGGTTTGAGAATCCCTTGAATTGCTGTTATTCTCCCAGGATTTTGACTTTTTTTCTTCTTTTTTTTCTAATTTGCTGTAACATATAGGTTAATCCGACTCAAGCATGTTGGTGAGCAGGGCCGATTTCAATTTTTAAAACGCCGAAAGGAACCCAAAAAAAGACAACACAATGAGGTTCAAAAGTTTCCTGATAACCTACAAGGCTATAACATTCAACGAATTTGTTAATCTAAATGGTGAATGATTAGGATCTTGTCCTGTAACAAAAGAAGAAATCGAAAAAGACATTTTTATTGTACATTTTGAGAAAACCCACAGGTTCAGACCAAACTGTTTTTATTGTACATTTGAGAAAACGCAAAGGTTCATGCAAAACTGGACTCGGGTGAAACTGAAACCGGACTCCAGTCCATGAGCTGCCCTCCTGGTTTCATCAAAGAGAAGCGTTTTGGTTTAGAAAACATTTGAGAGCTTTGAAATTAAAGCTGCAAAATTAGATGCTCTCTCTCTCTCTCTCTCTAAGCTGATATATCAGATACTCTCTGTCTCTCTCTCTCTAAGCTACCATGTCAAATGCTCTCTCTTTCTCTGCCCCAATTGTTGACCATCATAATAAGGATCCACCGCCCCATGTGTTAAATCCGAAGTTCTCTCTCATTAATCAGTGCCACCTGCAACAGACAGGATGAAATAGGAGGCACACTAATAAGCCTTTTGCTCTTTTTTCTTCTGAATGTTCTCATGCCTGTTGCTCTCTGTACAGAGAGAGAGAGAGAGAGAGAGAGAGAGAGACAACAACACGAACCTAAAAAGACGACTAGAAGAAAGACGAGAATAACTTACCACCGACGACAACGAAAGACGACAATAAAGAACACAACGAACAAGTAAACGAAACTAACC